CCTTGGCAGATTACTGTGAGCTTTTTATACTTTGAAACATAAATACTGGAAATTATCTGACTTAGCTCTAAAAACCCAAGCTGGAGTCCCAGGATACCTGAGAGGCACTAAAAACAGGTTTGGAAAAATCAGAAATTAGGTTTTACCTTCTCTCCTCTCACAAGCCTTTTTCTTTTGCCTATTCTTTTTCTCTTCTTTTCAAAACTGCTCCAAAATTCCAATAATGAAATAACTGAAATGCCTCAGTTATCAAGATGGTTCACCCAGGTGAGGTGATGAGGTGGAGTTGTCCATTCCCCTCCCTTTAAGATACAGACATTAGGTGGACAGAGTAATTAATTTACAGATAATTAGATAATTGTGACACAATTCCTGCAACTGGATTTATTTCCTTGTCCCAAGACAAGGTCTTGAAATAGAGGAAGATGAAGAGGGTTGGGTGGCTTCACCTCACCTGGGTGTGCCTTCACTTGAGTGCTGTAAGATTTGAGTTCAGCTGGTCTGGCACTTCTGCATCTGGAATAAGAACTGGTACTTTTTGATATTTGTAAAATATATTCTCCTTGTTCTCCTTCTGCTGAAGTGTTCCTGGCAATAAGTACCTCAGAGTCGTGGCCTGCCAACAATGTGTGCTGAATCAAATGCAACTGTTAGAGCTAAGATCATGCAAAAGCATCCTGAATCCTTCCAGTAGACTAATTTCTTTTAGTCTTCTATTCTAATAAAAATTAGATAAATATAACTAAAAATGCTTTGGCATTTCCCTTCAAGTGCATGAGGCTATGTGCCTCAGTTTTTTATCACAGGACACGGCAGACACCTGTACATTGATTTGTTGGGCAGGGAAAGCAGCCCAAATGCAGAATTAGCATTTGTTCTCTGCAACAAAACCAGAATTTTGACAAGAGTAAGTTGTGTTTCAGACCTTACTGACTTAATAAATGCTGTCACCTTATTAATAAACACCTTCTTGCTCTCAGACATGTCCCTCAGTATTGCTTTAGCCCACCATTAACTCTTCCAAGGCAGCAAACAGCATTTGACGAGTCCCCCCTGCCCTGGGAGCAGGCTCCAGCAGCGACCCCAGTGACTCCTCCATTTTGGGGTAACCAGAGGTGGCCCTGGCACAGTCACACTCTGGCTCTGGAGGCAGCTGCTCCCAAAGTCCCCCTGGCAAAGGTCAGGGAAGCAGCCAGAGCTCCGAGGATTGACTGAAACCCCCAGGGATGGGGTTACAGCCATTGCAATATCACTCCAATCAAGCAAATAGGAGCTCCTTTCCATCAACAGTTAATCACAGGACTTCACTTGTCTCTAAGTTCCTGCAGTTGCCTTGACAGATGAGAGCACAATAATATAAATAAGAAATGACAGTTTACCAAAGAAGGTTAACATAAGGTCACGACCTTTTTCTACTTGACTTCTGCAGCTTATTCATGTGTGAAAACGCGCTTTTGTAGCTGTAGCCTCAGCATCCCTTACAGATCTGGACTTCTGCCAACAACTGAGCTTTAAAATTACCATTTAAAATACCATTTTAAATGGTATTTATGTTCAGAAAATACCATTTCTGCATTTCGCGATGCTCGAGTAGAGCTGCTTCGCTTCAGAATAAAACATGAAATGAGGATATCTCTGCATTTCACAGCCCATCTCCCTGACACAGTGGTGCCTCTGCTCCACAAACAAGGCACAAACCCATTCCCTCTGCCTTCCTCAGACCAGGGCACTCCTTTCTGAGCAAACCCACCTGCCCAGGCTGCCCCAGGAACAGCACACAGATGCACAGGGCACAGCATCAGCCTGACAGTCCTACACTGGTAAATGTCAAATATTAATTTGTCACATTATTTGTGCAGTGATTTAAAGCCAAATCCTGTCTCATCATTCATTTCCATCAGGCGCACGAGGAGCGGGAGGGAAGCAGGAGCTTTCTGTCACAATCTGAAATGCCTGCGCCAGGAGCTGCCAGGAAATATTTCTCTGTCAGAGAAGCAAACTGAAGTTCTGAGCATGAAGGCTGGAGAGTGAAAGCTGCAGAATAACATGGAGATAATTAGCTTTGAAAGGCTAATCAGGTCACTGCTCTGGCTGGCATTTCTATGGGGATGCACAGGCCTCCAGCTCACCACATCTTGCCTCTCCATACGAGTATCCCTCACCAAAGTGAAGAAAGACCTTACAAGCTACATAACTCTGAATGACATATCCTGCCAAAAGAACCCCCAAATAGCCAGGAAAGATCCCTACAAATAGCCAGGAAATATCCCTACAGCCTTTGGAATGAGGATAGACCCCACAGCATGGGTCTGTGCTGCCCAATCCCCTGCCCCATGTGGGTCCAACCACACACAGAATCACTCAAGAATGAGAAGGTTTAATCAAAGATGATGCAATAACTATTTTAAGATTATCCCACATATTTTATGTGGTTGTGTTGTGCATATTCATGAAGTCTTGTGTCTTGCACACACCTTTGACACCCTAGAAGGTGGAGATGTTGAGCTTTGTCAGCTCATTCAAGCTGTGAAATGAGAACTTTGGGTATCCAAAAAACATTTTTCACAAACCCCCAGTAATGCTTGATCAAAACAGCAGTGCTCTTCACTAAGTTGTTGGTTAGTGAATTTTTCTCCACTTTCCCTTCCTTAGCATTAAACAGCTACAAATGGCTAAAAAAATATTTTAAAAAACCCAACAGTTCTTTCCCAACATCTTTCCCTTTTGTCAGAAGGATGCTCTATTTTGTTTCTGAAAAACACGATCAATCTTTCCAGTAATAATGACTTGCTGAATAAGATCTGTGCTACTTCCATGCTGCTTTTCTAACAATGCACCTTATTTGTACCTTGGCTTATAAAAAACCCCGTACACTGATCGATCATTGCAGGCACCAGTGAAATAAAACCAACCACGAGACAAATAATGGCAGCAGAACAATGGTGCACATCTATTTAATGCCTGAGTTTAGACTAAGGGGTAACATAAAGCACAGTGATGCCATAAAGGCAGAAAGAATGGAACAACCCAGAACAACAATAAACTTGATTCCTCCAAAACCATGGGTTAACCTGAATGAGGAGCTGTTTTACTCCTACCTGCAAAAATGACTCCTTTGAGCAGTGCAGAGGCATTAATAAAACCCCAGTGCACGCCCTGGAAGTCCTTCCAGCAGCACTCAGGTTTGTTTGAGAGCTCACTTTTCCCTCATGAAGTAACCAACTACTGAGTTACTCATATTGTACCACCTGATGGCCAGAAGCTGGTTGATAGTGGCCTCCTTGCAGGTCAGAACAGCCAAATTCTGTCATTGCCACCTCTGCAAAAGTTCAGGTGTATTTAGTAACACCACCACACTCTGTTTTATGACTTGAGCACTTCCAGTTCATTGTTTTACATTTTTGCCTGAGGACTTAAAAGAAATGGCCTCAAAACACTTAATAACATATTCCCCCTGCAAATCCTGATCAGATAAAATACAGCACAAAAATCAAACACCTTAAGCTCTGTTTGAGTTTTTAAAGACTGTCCAAATGCTTGAATTTAAAGTGTATTGTCAAATTGTGCAGAAGGAACACTAATTTGACTGAATTATTAAAATAAGACTAGTCTAAAGGAAAAATGACTCATGCATGCTAAGGATTATGATGAGTAGGACTCCTGCTTTCAAAAACCTTGGGGTTTGGACAATTTTTATGCACTGAAAGCAGTAAGTAGGCATCAAAAGACAGACCTGTGCACTGGCCCATGGGCATATTGCCAGTCAGTCACCCAAAGAGGCAAGAGAGGTGAAGTAGGAGGGATCTGTGAATCATAAATGATATTCCTGGGCTGAGCTCTCCAAAGGCCAAAATGAAATACTTCAATCAAAATAACATAACCATCTACAGCTTATTTTCACTGTCAAGGTGGTTTTTAACTGACAGGCTGAAATAGAAAATAATTCTATTGTCTTTTAGTGAAAATAGGAGTGCAGTCAAATAAATTATAAAGGTGGGATAAATATGACCATAGACAAGAAACACATTGCTTTAGCCAAACCTTAAAATGGAGTTGGACAATGGTAAAATGAAATCTTGGAAGAAGGGGATTTATGAGACCCTGTGCAATGGGAAAAGCCAGGAAACACAGTTTCTTTGAGAAGATGATAATACAGCTCATGAAAAGCTGCCCTGAGATTAAAAAGTTATCATCACTGATGCATTTACTGCAGCACTGAAATGCAGGGGAGGTGCAATCCAGGCCCACAGCAGAGCACACCAGGTGATGTGGCAGCACATCCCTGCTACCTGTGTCTGGGGAGAGCTCAGGAAGAAGGAACTGCTCTGGCCTGGAGTACAGCACACCTTGGGTACCTCACACCCGACCTTCTGCAGCACCCAGTGATGCACAAAATGTAGTGACTCTAGGTCAGCACATCATCTGGGCTTGTTTACAGCCACTCTGTTTGCCAGTGAGCCACACATTTCATTTTGTGTTCTAACACATTAAGTTTTTGCATAAGAACGAATTTTACCCTATAATGCACTAACTAGACTTAAATTTCCCTTAGGAAAAAGACAAATGGGTTTACATAGCATGTGGTTTTTAAATCCTTTTTTATTCAGTTAATCTCTAGCTGTGGAATTGTGATTGAAATACGAAAATGTATGTGTATTTTCTGATAAGAGCCATTTTGCTTAAGAGACAGATGAAATATTATCAAGCGCATACACTTCCTTCAAGTTTTTCAGCTGATGACTGAAATCCCATAATCAGAACATGGCACAGCCAATCCAGGTTAAGTGATAACATTTTTTTTCAACAAAATAAAACAAAACCCCAACCCTTTGAAGTGTTCTTACAGTTACATCTTCATAATCCAGACATGAGAAGATCCGCGCTCTCGACAACTCTGAGCACACGCTCTTCAGCTGGCTCCACATAAAAGCCAGCATTTCCTTTCCCTTCCTAAGTCTGCTGACTCCTTAATAGCAGTGAGACACGGTACAAAGCATTACCTGCACAGGATTTTCCATCTTCCCCCAGCTTCTGGCCAGCTGGACACTTGCAGTGGTAGCTGCCGATGGTGTTGCAGCAGCGCTCCTGGCAGCCGCCGTTCGCCGTGGTGCACTCGTTGACATCTGCCAGGAGAAAGCACAAGAAACCAGTGAAGGATGGGCACTGAACACAGTACCTGAAGATCTGAGGATGGTTGTGTCTGACTGATGTGAAAAAATGGGAAAGTTTCTGAGATGAACAGCTCAGGACCCCGAAGCAACATCAGAAGTGGCGACTCCCGGCTACACTGCTGAGCCCCTCCACTCAGCCAGGCTGTGCCGGGGGGGGTTACATGGGGTACCACAAAACATTTCTTCACTGAAAGGATTGCCAAGCACTGTAACAGGGTGCTCAGGAAGTGCTGGAGTCACCACCCTCAGAGGGACTTAAAAGATAAATATCACAGAATCATTACAGTTGGAAAACACCTCTGAGATCTTCCAGCCCAGCCATTAGTGGATGTGGCACTTGGGGACTTGTCCTCTAGGTGGGCTTGGCGGTGCTGGGTTAATGGTTGTACACAATGGTCTTAAAGGTCTTTCCAACCTAAAAGATTCTTGCTCTCAGGTGAGACAGCAGAAAAGCCAGAAGGAGGAGGATTAAGCAGCAGAAGATAAGCATCATCATGACTGTAAAAACCACAGGCAGTTACTTCATGTTATGGCACTCCTCGTTCCCAGAGGAGAAATGAGGCATTAAAAAAAACCATTAATTAGTTTGTAAAGAAAAATCATAAAAAAAATAATTTCACATTCATGCTAGAGAGGTGAAAGCCTTTCAACTGCAACTGTTCGGTGTTAAAGACTAAGATTTACCAAGGTTTGTTAGTCCTTTGATGAGCTCAAGTTTCACTTGACTGGTTCATTTCTGATCCTGGCTAAAAGCCACAGGTTAAAAGAAATTTTTGAGGAGGTTTCAGACTATTAAAAAGCTAAAAGAAAAGTGTATCATAAAGAACCAACTTTTGCTAAAGTGTAGCTGAAGAAGCACAAGCCTACTAAAACCACTTAATTTGTCAGTCATTGCATTTAGATTCAATGCAATGACTGACAAAATGATAATTTCTTTGTCCTCAGTGATACTGGAAAACTATAGGCAGGCTATAAAGAAATAAAACAAAATTCATCTATCCCAGAGCTACACAACAAACCAAATCCTAACTTGCATGAAGCCAACAAGGCTCTTCTCGATTTCACGGGAACGCGATTCAAACAGAAACTTTTCCCAGAGAAAATCACTCCCCCCCTTCCTCCCCTCCAAAAACAAACGGCACCAAAATAACAGCGTGCGTCTGCTCGCTTCTCCTCAGCAAGAGATGGGGAGAACATATGACAGCAGGCAGATTTTGGACGTGTTCCTCCGAGCTCTGGGAGGAGGCACGCGAGCGCGCAGAGAGTGGCGCGCGGCCCCTTCCGAGTGGTTTGCTCCATGCGCCTCGTGGGGACAAACAGCAACAAGCCACAAAATAACCCAGCTCCACGGCTTCGACTTCTATTTATACTAACAGGGTTGAAAACTGATAAAACCTCCCTGCTCTTTTTATTATTTTTTTTTAACAAAATTAAGGGAAGAACTGGTTTATTCTTTAGCACCCACAATGTTACGTGACCTCCTGGTGTACAATATTGACTGGGTGAGTGGTCTAGGATCTACAGGCCAATTTATTAACATCAGTGTCTATATTTTGAACCAAATCATTGGAACAAAACCTTTCTAGCTGAGGAGCTCGTCATTATCCCCTTGATTTCACCAGGGTATAATCCATTCGGAAGTGTATAGTGCTGTTGCATGCTAATATATAGGAAGTTTCTCCTTTGATTGCAGAGTGTTCCTGTTAGCAATTAAAAATCTTTTCCTTCCTTGTTCAGCATAAACTGCTGTGGTCCAGCTATTGGTGCTGCATGACTGAAAACCTCATTTCCTCCTTCTTCTAACCCTACCTTCTTAATGCTCTGTCCAGGATTTCTTTGTCTCTGCCTTAATATTTGTTTTCATCTTTTGATGAAATATTTTCATTTCTTTGCTGCTTTTTACACCAGAAACCCAACACTCTTCTGTTATACTCTCAAAACCTGACTTTCCATCTCCATGTGTCTTTAAGACAAACACCTTATTTAAAGCTAATCATCATAAAATAAACTATGATTTAATTTCTGAGTAAAGGCACCAGAAATTTTTTTTTGACACTGCTTTATTAGAGAGCAATCACACTAGAAGGAATACACTGAGCAGGAATAATCTCACCAGATTTAGCCCAATACTATGAAAATCTGCTCTCTAAGCATCTGCATCCTCTGCTGTCCTGTCTCCTGTTCAAGACCTTCCCCACTGCCTGCTCTCTGCCAAGCTGCTTTCTGCAACTCCATAATAAAGGTCAGATGTTGCCTCAGTCCAAAGAAGCACAAAAATAAATGATCTGAATGTGAAGTAATAAAGAATGTGTTTTACATTTGTAAAAGGCCGGGTCATAGAGCTTTTACAAGCCGGAATCAGCTGTTCCATATTCCTAAAACAGAGTAGTCAGGATTTTAAAATCTGATTACAGCTTTGCCACTGAAAAAAAAAAAAAAAGGAAACTTAAAATAAACTCAACAAAAACAATTCTGTCAAATGATAAATTTCTGTCTGCTTTCCATATTCAGTGTCACTCAAGGTCGCAAATATATTTTGCCTTTTGAATAGTGAGCAAAATGACAGAAAATTTCTGACACGTAACAACAAGTCTGCCACGTTAGGTCTGACAAAAGTTCAATGTTATCAAGCCTATCAATCCATCTGTAATGACATGCTGTAGGCACTTCAAAAAAAAAAAAAAAAACAAATGTGATGTTTGCTACAGCAATGTTTCACATTTATTTATAGAGCAAATGTTGCAACACAAAAACATTATCCATGGGACATACTGGATGCGAGCCTTCAATCTTGCCATGGGAAAAATAATTGAAAACACCTTGCATCTAGATTAACTTGATATTAACTTTATATATGATCTGTCTAGCATATATGTATGGGAAAAAAAATACACATTATATTTTAAATCCAGCAGTATGTTAAAATATGGATTGTTGACGTGTGCCCATGTGTGCCACACTCCCTGCACTCATGGTATTATAGACAGAACTATGTGAAAAGGTGTTTTTTCTCCAAAAATCTTATAAAATACTTGATATGGAAGGGAACATACCTTTTTTTTATGAAACAGACCACCTTTGCCCAGTTAACCCTGCCTAGGAACTACATGCTAAATGAAGGACAATTCCAATCCCTTCACTTCTCTGTTTTTGTTAATGCTACTCCATCTGGAAATGTCACACATCCTCAGCTCCAGGGAAAACAACCCTTCACCAAGTTTTTATGAAAATGTAGGTAATTTCAGATTTCCTGCATAAATGAAGGCTTTATGTAAAAGCAGACACTGGACAGAGTGGTTTTCATTGGTAATTCCAGCTTGAAATCTAACAGCAGTGACCTGCTCTATCATTAGCTCTCAAAAGCAGAAAGCAGATGAAGAAAAATCAGTGTGAAAAGCAGAAATAGGTGTTGGCATCAGGGCAGAAGCCTCCACTCCACTGAGCTGCTGGTGAGGGCTCTGCAGGGTCTGCACCTGGAGCTCAATTCAGCATCTCTAAAATCCAGTGAGGGATCAAACCTGTCCTGAGCACAGCACTGGAGAAAGCACCTGCAATGAGCAGGGGCTCAGCTCTGCAACAGGAAAACCATGAAGTCAAAGACCATCTAATTTTGGCAAGTTTGTGTGTTTAAATCAGTGGAACACAGCACTTAACTCACTGCCTACAGCTTAAGGTATTTTTATTTTCCCCATACGACGAGTTTAATGCCATATTCACTAATATCAAGACTAATTTTTAAGATAACAAAAGGAATCTCGTGACTGCCGCACAGTATTTAAAACCCATTTTCCAAGGTTTCTGTATTTATCAGCTGCATATGAGCAATAACTTTATTCATTTAAGGCAGCCACATGCAGATTTGCCATGTGGGTGCCCAGTTTTGGGCTAACCCATGCTCTGACCCGTGAGCCACTGACCTCAGCACGTGTCAGAGCTCCCTGGACTTGAAATAAATCACTGAAGTGGAATAAAATCTGTAAAATCATTGCCATTGTTATTGCAATCCTGCCTGAACAAAGCCCACCAGCACGGAGCAAGGAGGTGATTTTGATTAGTTTAAAAGCGTTAGGGGAACACACCCAGCTTCAATCAGGGGTCACAGCAAGCACAACACATTCATTTAGAGGGAAGGCAACATTTCATTAACAACACTTGGGACATTCTCATGAAGACCATGATGAAGATGGGCTGATTTCAGGAATCTAAATGTTAAATATCTTTAAGAAAGCAGTTTGATTCCTCTCTCCAACAGGCACTGGTAGCTTATATTGAGTTTTATAGCAATTTAGAGATGTGAATTCCTAACTCAGAAAACACAAATGCTGATGGGCAAAAAAAAACCAAACCAAACTCTCATAATGGTTAGGATCTAAGTCTAAATACAGTTTATCATGTACACCTCAAATGGTCCTATATGCATACTTTAATATATCTGAGGGCCTGGCACAGCAAGGTGTAGAACTGCAACTATCTTACAATTTGCTTTTATTAGGAGGTATTCTAGGCAAGGGTCTGTAAATCACAATGCTCATTTGACAACTTCTCATACATTGATCTAAATAATTTGATTCGAGCTTTTAAAAATGCTGAAGATCCAAAAAAAAAGCACCTCCTTAAGTTTTAGATGCTGTTTTTGTTTTTTGTTAATTACAGCTTGGATGGTCTGCAACCAAAACCATATGCCTAAAAAACCTTGAAACCTGAGAAAGTTGATTTGAACTTTAAAGGCCACTCACTGCTACAATGCAACGTAGCACACATGCACATATATCAAAATTACACATACACATAATGAAATGAACAAACACACTGGGACAGGCTGCCAGGCACAACACTTGCACCCCAAAGGCTGCGTTTGTCTTTTGGTTTCCTGCAGAAAGCTTTGCAGCAGTTGTCTGTGAGCAGTAATTGTCTCTAAAACATAAATTACATACATCACTTCCAGCACTAAC